GAGAGAGAGAGAGAGAGAGAGAGAGAGAGAGAGAGAGAGAGAGAGAGAGAGGGAGAGAGAGAGAGAGAGAATATATTTTGTCCCGATGGAGTTTTTATCAATATTATTAATTTGCCCATTCTCCCATCATCTGTTCTCAGGAGTATAAGGCATTATTTTCTTTTGGTACCATTGGGATGGATTGCTTTCTGGCGCATTTTTTTCTTGGAGGAGGTGGGGTGGGGCAGTGGAGTATTCTTCAGCGCGGGGCAGATTGTTGTATGGTGGTTTAAATTTCTATCAAAATCTTAACCCATCAACAGACAGCTTTCTTCTCTTTCATCTGGTATGAAACAAGCCGGCTGTGTGTGCGTTCAAAGGGCGGGGGAATTGCCCAAGAGTGAGGGGGTGTCGGAGAGAAAGAGCAGACCCCAAGCCTCACGGGTCCGAGTAGGTTTTCCCATCACCTGTTGTGGGAGTGAGCAAAAAACTTACGAGGGCCGAGGCTGAGGTGGTGAGTGACAAAACTTCGAGGTCGGCGCCGGGCCATGGCGTGGGAGAACAGTTTGCAGTATAGTTAGTGTCTGTATTGTCAACTCGCAGTACACTCACGTGTAGGGGAATCACTGTCTTTACATGTTGCAGTACAGTCAGTCAAAAAATGAATGCAGACCATTTGCCATACCGATCAGGTAAATGAAAAAAAGTCTTCAGCGTTTCCCCTTTACATCTAAAATTTCTGCTTCATTGATAACCTTAGATTTTTTAAAAATAACTTTTAATAGCGTTCCAGTCAAGAATAAGTATTTTTCCTCGCTTATTATGATAAAAAAAATAAGAAAAAGCAGTTTTCAAGCCTGAAGGCATTTTCATCGGAGAAGGATACATTTTCAAATAAATTAATATTATATACGTACTAAGCATTTTCCCCTTAAAACCATTTTTTTTTGGGGGGGGGGGTAGGCGAGGCAACATCTTACACCTTCATGGATCGCAATGGAGCAGTGAATTTGTGTGCTGAGAGGTCACTGACTCTTGGGTTCAAAAGTTTGCAGTGAGTAGTGGAAAGTTTGGTGTAGGAAAAAATGTGGTTCGGCTAACGGATTTTACCATAGAAAGGCTTAACGCTGGTCTGTCTGCCCGGCCACATGCATAGGTCGACCACCCTCGTCATTACCACGGCTTACTGCGAGAAGTGGAGAAGCACATGGCAGCCTGAAACACCAGGGGTGTAAAATTAAAACCAGTGCAGCCCTATGGTAAATAATGGCAGGAAATGACGTTGAGAGAGAGAAAGGAGAGAAAATAGAGAGAGAGAGAGAGAGAGAGAGAGAGAGAGAGAGAAGGAAAAGAGAGAGAGAGAGAGAAGGAAGAGAAAGAGAGAGA